TCATCTTCAGTCGGGTCATCAGTAATTGAATAATGGTTCTTGATAGATTACCTGGTAAGAACAAGTGGTTTCTTGTTGACCCTCCAGAAGTCGGAATCGTCGCCTCCATCTTGGGGAGATTTCAGGTCACCCAACTGCTCACATCCACCCATTATTGACCAGAATTCTTCATTGGTATCCCAGTCTTCATCTGAATACCGCAATGACATTGATTATGGTTATTCAATGAGTGATGAGACAATTTTTGTCATTTTGCGTTTTTGACACTGTGATGAAGATGTTCGAAACTTGATACCCAGACAATGCAGGTTTGGAGTGCCGCATCGTTCCTGATCTCTGATGCTCTGTGCTTGACGCATGCCCTTCAATAACGAATTATTTTGCAACTGCATAGAAATATCTCGTTCAGATGATGATGCTTATAACTGATAGTTAGTACAATTTGGATTTGAATGTTGCAGTCAATTTGTTCAAATTCAAATGAGATGAATTCAAACGAAATGAACACTTTAATACTTTAATTCTTTCAAGTCTACCACTATCTGGAGGCATCCAGACGTAAATATCAGCCCCGCAGTCCAGTATGAACACATCGCCAAGATTCAGTGAGGCACGCTCACAAGCCACCTGAAACATCATCATCATCATCGTGTTGCAAGGATGCTCGCAAAACTGAAAAATATTATCTCAGTTTTTAGTTGCACGAATGATCCGAAACATCGCATGAATATGCATCAATAAATCAACCGAATGCAGTTCACTCACTGCAAATTTGTTTGTTGCTCACCTGTGCACAACGTACGTTACGTTTTCCTTTGCACTGGAACAAACGCGGTGTCCAGTTGTCGAATTCATTCTCATCGACATGATTGAAACCAGATGCTGCACCACCCTGGAGGTACCTGAAATGTATCGCTTTTCTTCGATGGTGCTTATAAGTGATAGAATTCCAAATCGCCTCCCTTTAATGAATGTATCGTTTGCAAAAATGCTTGAATCAAGTTATTGAATAGAAACGATTTCGAAGTGTCAACAACAGAGATGGAAAAAGGAGACTCACTTTATACCGTTCTTGAAGTATGAGAGAAACAACGCCGATTCGTGGTTTTGAACCTGGAAAGTATCAGATGCTGAACGAAGAGTACGAATTAATGACCAAAATTATCAGAAACGTACATGCTTTCATTTCGCATATTTGTGAATAAAATACACATCGAATTTTGTTTCTGCAGTGGAAAAATGCTTTGATTTCTTGATCAAACTCATGTGCTTGTTCAATTTGCTTTGCATTTCGTTCATTCAAAAAGTTATCGGCTCGATCATTGCCTCATAAAGCATTTGANNNNAAAGCAACAAACCTCCCTATATTGGACTGGATGTCCCTCAAGTGCATCATCGACTTCAACCGTTTTCATTGCTGCAGTTCCTTGTTCATCCTTAAAAGTGATCAGTTCAAGGAGTCATTCGTCTCTGACTATTTTGAGCTCATCACTTTGTAACATGACAAGCTGCATTTTTTAAACGCTCCATACCAGTTAAGCTGCATCTCCCGATCGTGGCAATGTCAAACAACAAAAAACTCACGATCAGCTTTCGTCGGTGCAAAACGACACATTTTAAAATATTAATTCATTTGCATTGTGAGCTAACACGCGTAACAGGGAATTGCATGGAAACTTTCCGAAACCAATAGAAATGCGCGGATTCGAGTGTTCTCAGTCGATATTGAATGGAACAACATGCACCGACTGATGCACACAATACATTTCCTCCAATAGATGCGACTTTCAGTTTCTGTTCACGTTTCGTTGAAAAATTCTGAGCACTTCATTCTTCAAGTCTTTCTTGAGTTGAAAATAGAATCGAAAATTAATGAATGCCAATATAAGCTGAATGCTGACCGTTGATGTTTCGCTACCCAACCAGAAGTGAACATTGTATTTAGATTGCTCTGGATCAACAGTCTGCAAATGATTCTTTGTTACTTCATCGAGCAGTGTTCATCATCTGAACATTTTGCATTCGTTTCGATGCTTCAATTGGGACAACATCACAAAATTGTCCGCATGAGATGGAGAACTCGAGTTCTTTAATTGTGATTTAGGAAATTCAAAGTACTCAATCAGCAAATTGATTTCCCTTGCGAATTCAGCTCCCGGGCTGATGTTATATTTCAAATTGAACTTGGAAGATTAGTTCAGTCTGGCGTGCACATATGAAAGCGATGGAAATTGATTATGAGGAGAGAACGCAAAAAACTGATTGATGCCTGTGGTACATCTCACTTGCATTTGAATGAGAACTTACAGAAAGCGTTTGAATGCATTTCAGACCTTACCTGATCTTGAGCTTAAGCTCATGCGTATATTTGACACTAGGATTGATCCATAATTCAAATGGATAAGTTTGAAATGCATTCGGGCAGCAGGGAACTCATTAAATACTGCCATTTAGATCAGAATCTTGTCAACATTGAAATCGAATTTTTTTTGTGATGAATCGTCTCAAAACGC